TGCTCAGGCCGATGCCTCAACCACTAACCCACACCGAGCAGGGCAGTACCATACTGTTTTGATTACAGTAGTTTTGTAACATGTATTTAAAAAATCAGGAGGTATGAGCCCTCCAGCTTTGTTTTTCTTTCTCAAGATTGGCTATTCAGAGTTCTTTAAAATTCCCCATATGAATTTTGAACGTTTTTTTTTCTATTTAAAAAAAATGCCAATGCAATTTTGATAGGTGTTGCTTTGAATCTATAGACTGCTTTGGGCAGTATGGCCATTTTAATAATATTGTCTTCTAATTCATGAACAGAGGATACCTTTTCATTTATTTATATGTATCTCCTTTAACTTCTTTCAGCAATATTTCACAGTTTTCACAAGTTTTTCACTTCTTTGATTATATTGATCCCTAAGTATTTTTTGATGATTTGTAAATGGGATTTTTTTTTAAGTTTTTATTGATTTCAGAGAAGAAGGGAGTAGAAGAAAGACAGAAACATCAAACATCTAACAAAACCTTGTTAGAACTAAAACAAATTCAGCAAAATACAGGATACAAAATCAATACACAAAAATCAGTTTTTGTATATTAACAACGAAAAACCTGAGGCCTAGCCGATGTGGCTCAGTGGCTGAGTGTTGACCCATGCACCAAAAGATCACAGGTTTGATTCCTGATCAGGGCACATGCCCAGGTTGCAGGCTTGATCCCCAGTAGGGGCCGTGCAGGAGGCAGCCGATTGATTATTCTTTCTCATCATTGATGTTTCTATCTCTCCCTCTCCTTTCTCTCTCTGAAATCAATTAAAAAAAACACATAAAAATATTTAGTGATTTATATATATGTAAGATCATGCCATCTGTGAACAGAGATCATTTTACTTTTACTTTTCAGATTTGGAAGCCTTTTCTTTTCTTTTTTTTCTTCCCTAATTGCTCTGGCTAGGACAGGGGTGGGCAAACTTTTTGACTCGAGGGCCACAATGGGTTCTTAAACTGGACCGGAGGGCTGGAACAAAAGCATGGATGGAGTGTTTGTGTGAACTAATATAAATTCAAAGTAAACATCATTACATAAAAGGGTACGGTCTTTTTTTTTTTTTTAGTTTTATCCATTTCAAGCAGGCCGGATCCGGCCCGTGGGCCGTAGTTTGCCCACGGCTGGGCTAGGACTTCCAATACTGTGCTGTATAAAAGTGACGAGAGCAGGCATCTCTATCTTCTTCCTGATCTTGGAGAAAAAGCTTTTAGTTTTTTACTGTTGAATATGATGTTGGTTGTAGGCTTTTCATATACGGCTTTCATTATGTTGAGGTATGTTCCTTCTATTCCTAGTTTTATAAGTGTTTTTCTCATGAAAGGGTGTTTAATTTTGTCAAATGCTTTTTCTAGCTCCACTAATGATGTGGTTTTTGTCCTTCATCCAAATGGACACATTTTTAAGTCAAATTAATTTTTGTTTCTTTAATAAGAGCTATGATCGTATATTCAATACAATCTTATCCTGAGACCAGAAACTACAGTTTTAGAGATGATAGGGATCTTACAAATCAACTAATCCAACTCAGACCCAAAAAGACTTCTCCAATATCACACTGCAAGGAAGAGTTGATACTCCATCCTAGTGGAAAATACATAATTTTTGTATTGGTGCCTATTCATGTAGTTACACATAATTTATCCTACAATACAAGAAATACTCTAAAATCTGTCTGAAAATATATGGGTGAGGAGGTGTGTATACATACAAAATATGTGCATCAAAGCACCAAAACAGTGAAAAAATGGAAACAATCTACATTGTTAGATTTAGAGGATTGGTAGACAGGTATGACCATAAAAAAATACTATACAGCTCCTGTTAAGACTGATGTTTTCATTGACATGGTTGTAATTCAGTAAGTGAAAAAAGTAACAAAACGGTATATGAAGTTTGATTCCATTTCAAAAATTATGTGTGTACATACATATGCACTTAAAATATCCAGGATTTATACAAAAATGTAGTGTTTTCATGAATAATAATTCTTATGTGATTTATACTTAGCTATATTTTCTAATTTCTGTACAAAGACAATATATTCCCCATGTAATAAAAGATTAATATTAAATAATGTAGAAAAATGTCATGTATACATCTTTAAAACAAACAGCTTAACCCTGTAGATAATTCCTAATTACTCACTCATGTATGTTTCTTTTGTCATGCTATATGAAGACCAGCTTATGCTCACAGCTGGGCTTTCCTCCGTTTAATCAATGAAGTTTGAGTTACATTCCTTTTAGCTGACTCTACCTTCCTTAATCAAAAGTCTTAGGCACTTTCCACAACATTTTCAGGATTAATCTAATACATCAGGCGCCTATGCCTCTAGTCAAACTTATTTGAGGTATTCCAAACATCTGAAGGGGATACTGAGTAGTCTGTTTTGATTACCTGTGTCCATTACCAAAGCACTTCCCTTACCAATAAATGAAGTCTGAGTCCAAAAAACAAAAATATAATCTACTAAAAATCTAAGTTCTTTCCCTTCCCTTCATGAACATTTCAGTTTAACCATAGTAGGCCCATAAAAGACAGCTGTGCAGGTAGGGGCATAGAGAAGCCCCCCCAGAGTAAGCAACACATCTACATGAGAGAGAATTATGCATGTATATATATGTGAAGGGGATAAAATTACAACAACAAAAAAGACACAGGAGTCAGCCTCACAATGCAGGAATTTCTGTGGGTGACCCTGGGGAGGCTCAGCTTAGAAGACGGAAGCCCCCAGCTAGCCAAATCAGGGATAATCTGAACATGAAAAGAAATAAAAATGGTAATGGATCACAACCCACTGAAAAAAAATAGGAATCTTTTGAGTTCATGCTGAGATTTCAAAAAAAAAAAAATTAAGTTTAATGAAAAAATGGGGATATTTAGAATTTCAAAATACCTTCACAACAAAATATGAATTACAAATGGGAAAAAGCACAGATTACAGTGGAGAATTCTGGGAGACATCACCATAATCAAGAGTTCAAAGACAACAGCATCAGTAATGGAGTGTGAAGAAAACAGTTAATACATCAGCCCCCACACAGTCCTCGGAAGAAAGATCTGCATGCAAAGATGGTCCACTGTTAACTATTGGGAACTTGGATTTAGAGCAAGCATGTCTAATTTAAAGGCTAACACGGGCCAAATAAACAAGGTTTAAGTTTATGTGGGCCGCAAAAAAACAAAAGCTTCAATTTTCATAGAAATGCAGGTTTATTTCAATAGAGACATGCTGAATACAAAGGGCTAAAATAAATGAGTAATCATTAACATAAAATAATAGAACATTTTAATAAAATTAGTATTTTTTCTTGAACATTAACTTACCAGACACTGAATAACTGCACAATTTAATAGGCGTAATGCAAATAAACCTAGTTTTCTTGTTCTCCGAAAGTGAAATACTTCCTGTTGTGCACCCCAAACAAGTCAGTACAAGACTAGTGACATGGCAATCAGCTGCTAAAATATTCACTGCTAGCATTAATGGAGAGAAATGGTGCGCCTGCACTTAAGGTGCATAAGAGAATTGAATGCAACACAATTATATTAATCAGTCATTAGTGAACGTTGTAGTTTGTTATTAGTAATTATGTATAATAGGATATTATAAAAATTAAGTTATGAAATTTTTATTAAAACATTTCTTACAAGCCATTATACTGGCTGGGCCACAAAAATATTCGTTGTGGGCCACATGCGGCTCGTGGGCTGTGAGTTTGACATGCTTGATTTAGAGAGTAGTCCCACCATTCCCTAAATGAGAAGGGTGTTTCAATGTGAAATTGTTCAGACAAACAATATGGTTTATGCAGAACACTGGAGGGGTTACGTGTGTCTTCAGTGTGACTCCTCTAGGACAAAACCCTTGGGAGCTTGCCTACCTTTCCTTGCTGAATATGCTTTGTCACCTTCCCCTGTAATAAATCTTAGCTGTGAACATAATTGTTATACTGAGTCTTTCTAGCAATAGCAACTACCAAATCCAGGAATGGTCTTGGGAAAACCCAACAGAAGACAAATCAAAACCGGGTGCTACATAATAAGATACAATAAGAAGAATACAGCATCACTTCTGTAAGATCCCCACCCCAAATACATAACCTGAACAAAATTTTACAGAACATGAGATAAACCCAAAGAGGAACTTTCTAAATAATTACTAATCTGCAATTTTGAAAAGTGCCAATGTTATTAAAGTCAGGAAAAGACTAAGGAACAGTTCCAAATGTGAAAGACTAAAGGGACGTGAATACTAAATGCAATGTGTGATTCTGGGCTGGATCCTCTTTTCTCAAGAGGGCATTATTGGGACAGCTGGTGATACTAAAGTCAGATCTACAATAACAGTCACATGTCAGCGTTACTTTTCCTGACTTGGATGGATAAGGTACATAGGAAAATTTCCCTATTAGTAGGAAATAGCTACTAAAATGTCTAGGATCATGAAATCACACCAGGACCTTCTTTTCAAATGGTTTAGTGTATAAAAGCATTCTTGCTACTCTTCTTGCAACTTTTCTCTGAATCTGAGATTGTTTAAAAATACAGAGTAAAATAACAAGGATGATGATGTGGGTACCATTTCTTGGTACCCACGCCCATCTTTAGAATGACATACTAAGTGACGGTACAAAGTCCTATGTAGGAATTGCAGAAACTAGGGTGGGGCTGAAAAAAGACCCCTTTCCCTCACCAAGAAAAAAGTTTACATAATCAAGAAAGCTTCTAAGCCAAATACTTTAACTGTACTGGCTCATGATTATTGAACAATCATTAAGCGCAGAAAAATCACTGAGGTTAGAGTTATCATTTATCTAGTAAATTACTTAATAAGTCTTAACTGTTGGTGATAAAATTAAGAGTTTTTATTCAGTGTAAATTTTCATAGATAACTTTCAGCTAGAAAAGCCCATCTACAACATGTACTGCCAAATATCACTGAAAAATTCCAAAAAAACGAAATTACCGCTTGTGTGCTTCCTGTTTGCTGCGACATTCTTCACAGTAGTATTTATATTCACTGCATAGAGTTTCTGTGTTGCTAAAACCCCTGTGTAAAATTCAAAATAAATTTATTTTGTCTATACCAGAAAATCATGTATTCATTTAGAAATACTCTAAAGATATTCATTAAAATTCATGATGAATAACTACACTTACCTTAAACAGTGAGTAATTGATGTATTTTGTTCCACATCAACAGAAAGGTCTAAAAAATCTTCATCTTTGCTGCTTATCTGTAAAAATAGGAAATTACCTTTGATTTTTTTTCAAATATCAGTAAACCACTATTCCAAAATGATATAATTAAATGCATTCTAATATTAGTAGTAAGTATATGAAGAATCCTTTTTCCCCAAGTTCAAAAGAAAAGGACTTGATTTGGATTATTCAAAAGAACCCTGAATAAATAACTCTCATTGCCTGGGAATGATTCTCTTACTGGCAAAGGCTAGTATGATATGAAGTCCCATTATTTTCCAAAATCTTGGTGTTACTGTAAAGCATGAAACAAACTGTACCATATGCACCAATTCTTAAAACATAAGCAGGCCAAGAATGAATGAGAATGCTTGGCAAAGGACATGATACCTGTATTGTTTTACCATTTAAGAAAATAATTTAGCCCAAAATGCCAAATCCCATTATATCTCAAAATAAAATCTACACTAATAAAAGAGAAATATGGTAATTGGCATACGACCGCTACCCTTTTCATTGGCTAATCAGGGCGATATGCAAATTAACTGCCAACTAAGAATGGCAGTTAACCTCCAACAAAGATGGCGGTAAATTTGCATATGTAGGCACAATGCAGGGAGGCGAAAGGGAAAGCAGGAAGAAGCCCCCTGCCA